CAGCTAGTCTGGTTAAGTTGTGGTTGGAGCTGATACAGAAGACAATCATTTCTCCTGCCTTTTATGGGACATTATCTCCAGAGATCTGGGAAGTTGGATTTTTTTGCTTCGGCCACAGCTTCCAGCAGTGAATCCACATCATCATTGTAGTTTGCAGATGGCACAAAACTTGGGAACATAGTAAACAGTGAGGAGGATAGAAGCAGATTGCAGGAGGACATAGACTGGCTGGTGAAATGGGCAGACACGTGGCAAATGAAGATTAATGCAGAGAAGTGTGAGGTGATGCATTTTGGGAGCAAGAATGGAGAGAGGCAATATACACTAAATGCTAGTTTTAAAGGGGGTGAAGGAACACTGAGGGTTCATATAAGTCAATCCTTGAAGGAGGCCGGACAGGAAGATAAAGCTGTTAAAAAAGCGTCCGGGATACGAGGCTTTATAAATAGGGGCATAGAATACACAAGTCAGGAAGTTATGATGAACCTTTATATAAAACACTGATTAGGCCTCAGCGAGAGACTGGGTTCAGTTCTGGGCCCCACACTTTAGGAAGGATGTCAAGGCATTGGAGAGGGTGTGAAGGAGATTGACCAGAATGTTAACAGGAATGAGGGGCTTCAGTGATCAGGAGAGGTAGAGAAGCTCGGATTATTCTCCTTGGAGCAGAGAAGGTTAGGGGGAGATTTTATAGAGGCGTTCAAAATGAAGAGGGATTTAATAGAGTGAACAAGGAGAAACTAGATAATTATTTGGGGTGGACAAGTTTGCAGGGCTATGGGGAGAGATCAGGGGAGTGGGATTGATTTGGAAGCTCTTTTCAAAGATCCGGCACAGACATGATGGGCCGAATGGCCTCCTTCTGTGCTGTAAAATTCTGTGATTCTATGACTGTTTCCATTGCCAGGTGTGCCAGTAACCAGGGGACATTGATTCAAGATAATTGGCAAAAGAACCAGAGGGGAGATAAGGAAAATTTTCTTTACACAGAGAGGTGTTGTGGTCTGGAACCCCTGAAAGGGTGGGTGCAAACAGATTCAATAAGAACTTTCAAAAGGGAATGGGATAGGTTCTTGAAAATGAAAACTTTGCAAGGATATGGGGAAGAACGGGCAGTGGGACTGATTGGGCAGCTCTTCCAAAGAGCAGGCACAAGCACGATGGGTCGAATGGCCTCCTCCTGAGCTGTAATATTCTATGATTCTATATGATTCTATGAATATAAAAATGAGAGTGCGGTCTGTTAATAATATAGAATCATAGAATTTTACAGCACAAAAAGAGGCCATTCGGCCCATCGAGTCTGTGCGGCTCTTTGAAAAGAGCAATTAATGTCAGTCCCACTCCCGGCCCTTTCCCCATAACCTGCAAACCCGTCCTCCTCAAATACCCGTCCACCACGTTTTTAAAAGTAGTTATCGAATCGGCCTCCACCGCCCTCTCAGGCAATGTTCCAGATTCGAACAACTCTGCGTGAAAAAATTTCTTCTCACCTCTCCCCTCGGCTTCTTTTAGAGACTATTTGGAATCTGTGACCTCGAGTCACCGACATACCCACCAGTGGGAACAGTTTCTCCCTCTCTAACCTATCAAATCCCCTCATGATTTTGAAGACTTCTATTAAGTCCTCGTAACCTTCTCTGCTCCAATGAGAATAATCCCGGCCTCTCTCGCCTTTTCTCATCATCACGGTTCCTCATTCCTGGACCCATCCTCGTAAATCTCCTCTGTACCCTTTCCAATGCCTTAACAAGGCCATTCACCTACAAGCCATTCACGGCCTCGCTCCCTCCTACCTCTCCGACCTACTATCCCCCTACCTACCTGCCCGTACCCTCCATTCCTCTGGCTCTAGTCTGCTCCACATCCCCCACCCCAACCGCCCTACCATCGGTGGCCGGGCCTTCAGCCTCTCAGCCCCCAGGCTCTGGAACTCCATCCCCCAGTGCCTTTGACGCCTCCTCCCTTTCCTCCTTCAAGGCCGGTCTCAAGACCTTTCGCTTTGACCTTCAGCCTTCAGCTCCTCTCTCGACTCTCTACCCCCTATTGTTGTTAACATCCTTCCTATAGTGTGGTGCCCAGAACTGGGCGCAGTATTCTAACTGAAAGCCTAACCAGTGTTTATATGGGTTAATCACAACCTCCTGACTCTTGTACTCTATGCCCTTATTTATAAAGCCCAGTATCCCATATGCCCTTTTTACAGCCCTATCTCCCTGTCCTGCCACCTTCAAGGATTCATTTACCTGCACCCCAGGTCTCTCTGTTCCTTCACCCCCCCCTTAAGATTGTATTACCGCCTATATTGCCCCTCATTCTTTCTTCCAAAATGCATTACCCGCATTTCTCCACAATTAAATTAATCTGCCATGTGTCGCCCATTTTACCATCTGTCTATGTCTTCCTGCAGTCGGCTCCTATCTTTCTCACTGTTTACCCCCTCCCTAACTTTGTGTCGACCGCAAACTTGGAAATGGTACTTGCTATACCCAAGTTCAGATCATTTATGTATATTAAGAAGAGCAGTGGTCCTAATACCGATCCCTGGGGGACACCACTGTACACTTCCCTCCAGTCAGAAAAGCAGCCGTTCACCACAACTCTCTGCTCTCTGTCTCCCATCCAGTTCTGGATCCGCTGCCACTGTCCCTTTTATACCAACGGCTTCTATCTTTCTTACAAGTCTTTCATGTGGCACTTTGTCAAATGCCTTTTGAAAGTCCATATAAACTACATCAACTGCACTACCTTTATCCCCTCTCCGTTACCTCATTGAAAAATTCTATTAGATTTATTAGACAAGATTTGCCTTTAACAAATCCGTGCGGCTGTCCCTAATTAACCCATATTCTTCCAAGTGAAGATTTATTGTGTCCCGGATTATAGTCTCCAGGAGTTTCCCCACTACTGATGTCAGGCTGACTGGCCTGGAGTTCCCAGGTTTGTCCTTCTGTCCCTTTTTGTACAGGGAGTCACATTGGCCACTCTCCAGTCCTCGGGCACCACTCCTGTGTCCAACGAAGATTGAAAAATTGTGGCCAAAGCCTCCGCTGTTTGTACCCGTCCCTCCCATAGTAACCTCGGCTGCATCCCGTCTGGACCGGGACACTTATCACCTTCAGCCCAGTCAACCTTTCAGTACTTCCTCTCTGTTTATACTTATCCTCTCCATTTCCTCTCCCCTCTCCTCCGATACTGCGGCTTTTGGTGCATCCACTTCTTTTGTGAAGACAGATGCAAAGTATTCATTCAGCACATCAGCCATTGCCCTCTGCCTCCACAAAAAGATTGCCCCCTTGGTCCTTAATTGGCCCCACCCTACCTTTGACTAACCTTTTTTTCTTGATGTGTTTGTAAAATATTTTAGAATTCCCTTTAGTGTTACCCGCTAACCTTTTTTCGTATAATCTTTTTGCCCCTCTTATTTCCTTTTTCAAACCTCTTCTGCACTTCCTGTATTTGAATAATAATAATAATCCTTGCATTTGATATAGCGCTTTTCACGTCTTCTAGACGTCTCAAAGCGCTTCACAGAATAGACAGTAAAGTGAATTGACTGTATATTTAAATAAAAACCAATGCTGACTCTCCAGCTGTACAGCACCATGTTCCATTGTTAAACCTTCACAGACGTTCTGTAATCATTCATATTGGAGAAAGATTCCACTTCATTGCGTTTGATTTGGAGAGAGAAATTACAAAGAGTTTGACTGACGGCATCTTTGGCGCTAGTTAATACTCGTGATTTGGATTATTAAAAGTGCAAACCTGGCGGCAGCCGTTGTTTGATGTCTCTGGGGGGAAAGCTTGTTTGCATAAATTGACAGTTATGTTGTAATATCAAACAGATGCTCAGAGTCAGGTCAGGGCTAATTAACCCATTCCTGGGAGCAATTCTGGAATTCCAGCCCTACAGCACATTGTATCACTGATATCATCCAACATTTGGGTCTAATTTACTAGAAACACAAGCGTTTACACAACTCGCATAACATG